TTCTCCAGCACCACAGCTCAAAGGCATCAATTCTCCTTCTATCATCCCTAGTCATTGTCCAGCTTTATGATGCATAGCAAGTGGCTGCAAAGACCCATTTTCAGATGTATCCTATGCATCTGAAAGTTGGACATGAAATAAGAATAAGAAGCATCCACCAGGTGCTCTGCTGGAGAAGGAGGGGCAATCTCCTCCTGTACCTGTCAGATCTGATCTGATGGTACACACACATACCAAACCTCGAGTACTATACTTTGAGTCAGTTAAGGAATTCTTGAGGAATACTCAATCTCTCCCTAATCCTTAGTTTATGAGTTGACTTGATAACCTCACGCTGCAGTGAAATGCAACACTGGAGATTAATCAGAACTGGTTTTGACAAGCACTGTGGCAATGGGACAATTAAAACAGACTTCCGAGGGGAGAAAAAAAGAGAGGAATGAACTGGGCGGGGGGTAGAGAAAATAGTGCAACAATGAATGAATGGAAATCCAAAATCTCTGTAAATGTTCATTAAAATTAATAAAGTAAATAAAAAAAAAAAGAAATGCAGCACTATTGTGCGGTAAGTCTCCATAGGCCATATTCCCTCTGATGATCCAGAACGAATTGGATTTTTAGGAGGGAGGAAACTCCGGTGGCCTAGAGGTAAGAAGCTGTGTTGGAATCCCAAAGGTACATGGTTCAGATCCATCAGCTTCTCATTGGGAAAAGGACGGGCAATCTCCTCCCATGAGATGTACTGCTTCTGAAAACCTGCAGGAGGGTCAGCAGTGAGTTGGTTCCAATGGCACACAACGACAATAACGGGCTTTTCCAGACAATAAGTCCAAATGGTGTGGATCTTAGTGGACATTGACTCAAATGTTTGACTCAGAGGCATAGAGAGAAGGAGTTAAACATCAGAATGGCAACTTCTTCTCGTTCCTACCTCCTCTGCTTGTTCAGTTTCTTTTTCAATTCTTTTTAGTAACTCATTTCTCAGCAACATCTCCTTGTCCAGATTGACAGACATTTCCAATCCATGATGAAGCTTGCCCTGAAATGCCAGAACATAGCAAACATTAAGCAAAGACCTCTCAGAACAACAGGAAGGGTAGACTGCTCTTTTGTAAGCAGGAGAAAACAGGATTGTCTAGGAATCTGGGTCTGCCCTTCTCATGGGTACAGAATCCTGTTGCTTTAAAGCTGGTGATTTTGGGGTGAACGTGAGTTACGGTATTGGAAAACAGTGCTGAATATCCATCTACTTTTAAAAAGAACAGATATGTCTTAGGCGAGCTCTGGTGGCCTAGTGGCAAGAAGTTGTACTGCAATCCCAGAGGGGAGCAGTTCTAATCCACCAGATGCTCTGCTGGAGAAGGGTGGGGAAATCTCCTCTTGTACCAGTCAGATCCGATTTGATGGCACACGAATATATATTAGAGAAGGCAAAGCCAGACTGAACCTTGGAGGCAAGGATGACAAAGCTTCGTCTTACTTTGGGTATGTTAAGAGACACTGTTCCTTGGAGAGGGACATTATGTTTGGAAAGGTAGTCAGTGAAAGAGAGGAAGACCCTCAATGTGGTGGACTGATACAGTGATTTTGTCAGTGGGCTCACGTGTGTTGGGGATGACAGGAACAGCACAACACAGAACAATGCTAATATCTGTTATTCACACATTTTCTATTAGTTTCCCTCAACTCTACCACGCTTAACAATAACACTCTTTATCGAGCACCTGCTACACATCTGAGAGCTAGCCAAGAATAACAATGACAGCAGAAGAACCGATGTTTGTGAGTTGTGGTGTTGAAGAATAGTACTGAATATCCCACGAACCGATAACAGAACAAACAAATATGTCTTGAGAAAGTGCAACCAAAGTGCCCTTTGGAGGCAAGGATGGTGAAGCTTTGTCTCACGTACTTTGAGCATGTTGTCAAGAAAGGCTCTTCTTTGGAGAGAGATCTCATGCTTGGAAAGGTGGTGGCTCAGCAAAGAGGAGGAAGACCTTCAATGAGATGAACTGCACATCTTGTGATTTTAGCAACAGGCTCAAGTGTGTCGGGAATGATAAGGATTGCACAGGATAAGGCAGGACTCAGCTCTGTGGCTCATAGGGTCGTTACAAGTTCTACTGGACTCAATAGCTTTTAAAAACAAGGGGTTAAGAGGGCAGCCAGAATCTCATCCTCACCAAAGACATGGGATGGTAAGATGCACACAAAAGGACCCAATTCCTGGCCCCATCACTTACTAACAGAAGTTTGGGCAAGTCCTAGTGTCTCTCCAAATTTGGTGTTATCATCTTACTGGATTAGGTTGTTATTACGTGTTGCTGAGTCAATTCCAATTCAGTATATCTCACTACACAACAGAACACTACCTGGTTCTGTGCCATCCTCACAGACATTGTTATTTTGAGCCCCTTGTTGAGGCCACTATGTCAGCCTATCTCACTGTGGGTCTTCCTCTTGTTCCAAGGTCTGTGAAGAAGATTTAATGAGATAATCTTTGGAAAGAGCTGAGCACAGTGACAGACCCCTGGAGAATCCTAAGCAAATAGCTGCCTGCACTACTTGCTGTGGGTGACTAGTATACCAGAATGCCCACTTTACAGGTCGGAAGACTGAGCCTTAGGGAGTGGATACAACTAATCCTAGTTAACTAAGGCTGACCTTCTCTAGGTCTGTCCACCAAGGTGTCACTGGCTGGGTTCGAACCACCAACCTCTCATCTAGTAAACAAACTCTTAACCATTTACGCTGCCCAGGAACTCTGGCCTTGGAGGAGAAGAGTCTAAAGGAGCTGAGAGCCAAGTGAAGAGTCATGGGGGGGGGGGAGGTGGATGGAGCAGGGAAGAGTGCTGGGCTTTGCCCCGGGATATCACAGCAACCTAGCAGAAAGGCCCGAAAGCCATCTGCCCAGGGTGAGGTGAGACACCCAGGGATCATGTCCCTTCTCTGCCTGCCCTCCTCTGCCGGTCGCAGGACAAGCACTTAAGTGCCTCCACCATGAGGCCAAAAGAAATGGAGAGTATCTGGTTATCATCACTGAATACTTTGAGTGTATTAGAAATTCCATACAAGAATCCTCATCAGAAGGGGGGATATACAGAACAGAATTTCAAATCCTAATGAGATACAGACTTTCTGGAGCCAAGGGGGCTAAATGAACCCCATGACACTATAGCCTTGATATATATATATAATCTTTAAACCAAAAATGTCCTCCTGAAGTCTTTAGAGTTTAGAAACTTAAGGGCCAGTGGGTTTAAATCAATGAGAGAAGGAGAACGCAGAAAAGGAGATTGAGGATGTTTGAAAAACCCAAAGTATGTTAGTGGGTGGAGCTGCGATGAAGTCATGGGAAAGGGTCAATGAGGGCTTCAAAAGAAAGGGCGATAGCAGGCATAGAGCAACGGTGATTATTTGTACAAAATAAAATGAATACTAGTGATTGTATAAAACACAAAACACAAATGATTGTATACAAAAATTTTTTTAAAGTGCAATCAATGTCCTTGAGTCATACACATAAAAACAGCTGAGTTCCTGTTTGTTTGTTGTGTATATTCTCAACAACAACAACAACAAAGCCCATCTGCGAGTTAGCAACCTATGTCCATGGCCACTATGGCCGCTGGGCAGTAGACGAGGGGTCAGGAAGTTTCCTTTAATGGATCAGACATTTTAGCATTTTAGCATTACGGGCCAAAGGAAAGTTGAAGATATTTGTGTTTACACTAACAAAAGAGAAAACATATTTTCACACAACAATAATAACAATTGAGAGCAGTTTTTATGTAATCCACATTAACTAATGGGGAGGGTGGGGTTGCTATCATTCCACCCTGTGGATTCAGAGTGTTCCCTACCAATGTGTTGCAGTAAAAGCCATTCAGAGCTCACAGGCCAGTGGGACAGATCCATTGGCCTACAGTTTGTTGACCCTTCATTAAGGTAGTTTCAGGAAGGGTGACTGGGCAGCCTGATCTGCTGGGGACGGACCCTCTTCACATCTATGTGGTTGTTAGCTGTCATCAATCTGGATGTCAATTCATGGCAACATCATGCATGATGGAATGAAACATTACCAGGTCCTTCGCCATGTAAACTGGACTTCGTGCTCCCTAGCATTTCATGGGTTGATTTTTACAAGTCAATCATCATTCTCCCCACTCTGTCTCAGTGTGGAAGCTCCCCTGTAACCTGTCCAGCACATAGAAACACTCAGCCTTTACTACTTCAGGTGCACTGGTCAAAAGATGGATTCAGGCCTCCTTCACGTTGTTAGGTGCTGTCGAGTCGTAAAACTCATGTGAACAACAGATCTGAACCCCATCCTATCCTGCGCCATCCTTCTCATCTCTGACATACTTGAGCCCATAACCACAGCCACTGTCTCAATCAATCTGGTCTTCTTCTCTTTTGCTGACCCTCCACCTTCCCAAGTATGATGTTCCTTTCCAAGGAATAACTGCTCCTGATAAGATGCCTGAAGTATGTGAGACAAAGCTTCCCCCTTCCCTTGTCTCTAAAAAGCACTCTGTCTGTACTTACTCCAAGATATTTCTGTTTGTTCTTTTAGCTGTCATGGGGTCTTCAGTACTCTCCTCCAACATAATTCAAAGGCATCAGTTCTTCTCTTATCATTATTTATAAAACCCTATGGTTTGAATCCGATGGACATTTGTCTTTAAACTGATCATGACCCTGTGGGACTTTGTAGTGGTCCCTGATAACAGACTTTCCCAATACACAATTCATCTTTCGATTTCCTGTCTGTCGGTACCAATGGTGCTGATTATCGATCCAAGGAAGATGAGATCATTGACAACCTCAATCTTTCCTCCATCTATCATGATGCTGTTTCTTGGCCCAGTGGTGAGGATTTCTGCCCTCTTGATGTTGAAATATAATCTATATTGAAGTTTGTGGTCCTTAATCTTTTGCAGTAGATGCTTCAGGTTGCTCGTGCTTTCTGCAAGCAAGGTCGTGTCACCTGCATAATTCAGGTTGCTGATGAGTCTTCCTCCGATCCTGATGTCAAAGTCTTCTTCATTAAGTCCAGCTTTTTGAACGATTTGCTCAGCATACAAATTGAAGAGGTATGCAGAAAAGATACAACCCTGAGACACACTTTTCTTGATTTTAAACCAGTGTTTTCTTTCTGTGGATGACATCTTCTTGATGTAGGTCTAAGTTTAGCACGAGCACAACAAAGTGTTGTAGGGTCCCATTCTTCACAATGTTAGCCATCCTTTATTGTGATCCACACAGACAAAGGTCTTTGCACTGTTAATAAAGCACAAATAGACATTTTTCTGGTATTCTCTGCCTTCAGCCAGGAACCATCTGACATCAGCAAAGATATTCCTCATGCCACGGCCTCTTCTAAACCTAGCTTGAACTTCTGGCATTTCTCTTTCAATACATTGTTCTAGCCATTGTTGGATGATCTTCAGCAATATTTTGCTTGCATGTGATATTAATGATATTGTTTGATAATTTCCACATTCTGTTGGATTATCTTTCTTGGTAATGTTAACCAATCACATCTCCTCCAGTCAGTTGGTCAGTCTTCCAGATTTCCTGACATAGACCAGTAAGCCCCTCCAGGGTTGCATCTGGAAATCTATCAGTTGGTATCCCAATGATTCCTGGGTTCTTGTATTTTGCCAGTGTCTTCAAAGCAGCTTGAACGTCTTCCCTAATCACCATGGTTCTTATTATACACTTCTTGAAATATTTCAGTGCTGACCAATGCTTTTGGTACAATGACTCTGTGTATCCCTTCTATCTTCTTTTGATCCTTCCTAGATCATTCAAAACTCTGCCCGTAGCATCTCTCAGTATTTCAATGCATATAGATGTTCTAGGCATTCATGAGCTGAAATGGACTGACATTGGCCAATCTGAATCCGCTGATCATATGATCTACTTTGCTGGGGATGAAGAGTTGAAGAATGATGCTGTGTTCATAATGAAAAGGACAAAGGACTATCCTGAAGTAGAGTGCTGTGAGCCATAGTGTATTCTCTCTATGTGTGCAGAGAAGACCTGTTAGTACAACCAGTATTCCAATATACACCCCAAAAGTTAAAGCCAAGGGAGAGGAAACTGCAGAATCCTATCAACTTTTGTAGTCTGAAACTGATCAAACATGCAGTCAAGATGCATTAATAAGAACTGGTTACTGGAAAAGTTGGAAACAAAGTTGAGAGAAAGGTAGTTGGACATTATGGGTTTGGTGACAGAAATGAGACTGGAGATTAAATTATTTAATTTTGCACAAAGATTTATTTATTGCAAATACCTTTTTAAGGAAACACGGATGGTGACCTCCCCTGATGAATCAGATTGACTACATCTGTGGAAAGAATCATGAAAAAGCTCAATATCAGCAGTTGAAACCAGGCCAGGTGCTGACTGTGGAAAAGACCATCAAGTCCTCCTGTGCAAGTTCGTATTGAAGTCGGAGAAAAGTTACACAAGTGCACAAGTGCCAAAGTATGACCTTGAGTCTATCCCACCTGAATTTAAAAATCATTTCAAGAACAGGTTTGAGGCATTAAACATTTAATGATCAAAGACCAGATGAGCAGTGGGACAGTATCATGGATATCATCCATGAAGAACGCCAAAGGGCTAAGACAAAGGAGAAAGAAGACCAAATGGATGTCAGAAGAGACTCTGAAAACTACCCTACAGCACTGAAAGGCCAAAACAAAGGGAGTAGATGCTGAAGTAAAAGAGTGAAACAGGAGATATCAAAATGCTGCTAGAGAAGATAAAGCAAAGTATTTTAATAGAATATGCAAAGACCTGGAGTGGGGGGATGGGGAAAGGGAAGAATTTCTCAGCCTTACTCTAGTTTTTTAAGAAAACTGAAAAACCATTTCAAGCTTTGAAGTACTGAAAGACACTATGGGCAAAATCTCGAATGATCCAGGTCTCACTTATGGACAGTGAGAATTCTACCATTGGGCCACCCTTACCCTGTTCCGATCTATTAGTCCTGAAGAAGAGATAGAAATTGCCAATGATTTCATCTTACTTGGATCCATAATCAACACCCTTGGTACCAGCACTCAGGAGATCAGATGTATTGCACCGGGAAGGTCTACAGTTAACTAATTAACTCAGTCCATTTAAAGACTTACATTAGGCCTGACCCAACCATGGTCTTTTCAATTACTTGCTATGCATATGAAAGCTGGCCAGTTAATAAAGTTGACAGAAGAAGAATTGAGGCCTTTGAGTGGTGACGCTGGAGAAGGGTACTGAATTTTCCAAGAAGAAACAGGTTGGTCTTGGAGAAGTGTTGTTAGAAGAGTTGTTGTTAAGCGTTCCAGTCCTTGGAAAAGGACATCATGCTTGGAAAGGTGGATGGTGGGCGAAGGAGGGGAAGATTCTCAGCCTAATGGATTGACACAGTGACCATAACAATGAGACTAGGAATGCCAGAAATGAAGAGGATGCCACGTGATAGAGCAGAGTTCAGACCTGTTGTTCATAGGGTTGCTATGATTAGTACTTGACTCAACAGTACCTAACAACATCAATTATTAAAGCCTTTTGTTTTTTCCCTTGGAGCTCTGGTGGCCTAATGGTAAGAAGCTGCGCTACAATCCCAAAGGCATAGCAGTTCAAATCCTCCATCTGCTCTGTGGGAGAAGGAAGGGCAATCTCCCCGCTCACCCCCCCCGGCCCCTGCCCCGTAGGATTAAGTGCCTCTGAAAATCTGCCAGAGGGTCAGCTATGGGTCGGTTCTGACACTACTACTACAAGAAGAAGAAGAAGAAGTTTTCTTGGAGTGATAAGTTTAGTTGTTTTCTATTTTTGTAGTCGTTTCACTCTTAGCAAACGTGTTCTCCCTTTGCAGGCTACTAAGGCAGTAAGTGTATGCTCCCTACTATGGGCCTAAATGAAATCAGGCCCTAAATGGTTTTGGTTTTTCAAGTTTGCAGTACATTAAAAAAGATCACCTGGTGAATTAGGAAAAGAGAGAAAAAAAATACAATGGGGCTGGGGCAAGGCTGTGTGACCTTAATCCCTTAACTCCATTTGGTGTGTTTTTTTAAGGAGTAAGCTCTCTGGAGGGTCTCCTGCACTCACAGAGCAGAGCAGGATTCAAGGAGACTTGGATTTGGGGGTTCAGAGAAATGGGGGGACAGTAGGCCAGTGAAGGACACCTGGGCTCTTGGGAAGGCTGCAAAGGCCTGGGACCTTGTCCCTGGATGGGTGCAGAGGTGTGGGGTGGAGGAAAAGCCATGGGCCGGCGTGGATGTGGGGAGGGCTTACTTTGTAAGCGTTGAGGATCAGTAGACTATTTCCAGACACCAGTTTCAGCTGGATCAGTTCTTGATTCCTTATTTCAATCGTTTCTAAAAACTGAGCATTCTCAATCTTCAGCTGCTGGAAGTCCACATCATGGAGGGCCTCGCCTACCTCTTCCTTCTACAGCTCAGAAAGAAGAAGGAAGCCGGTCTGCTCCGGTGTGCCTCCTGAATGCAGGACTCACGACCGGCAACTCCCTAGATTTCAGTCCCCCAACAAACGCACACCAAATGCAGAGACTGGAGTGAATGAGAAAGAGCCCCAGGCCGCAGGCATGCATAGTCAGGGCTGATGGACCAACAGACCTGAGGGCACATAGAGAGAAGCCTCTCTCACCCAGGTCAGTGGAGGCTTCCCTCATTGGGGAAGGGAGGGGCCCAAGCAGGGTTTGCAAGGAAGAGACCTGTCTGCTAAGAAATGAAGAGTTCTTTTTAACCCGAAGTCCGAGGAAAGTCAGCCCTTAAGTCCCCCTGCTTTAATCATCTAGGGATCTGATGCTCTAATGCATAGTGTGTTGTGTTGTTAAAACCTAAAGTCTTCTCTAGTGGTTCGAATCCACCAGAATCTCTGTGAAGAAAGAGAGACTATCTCCTGCCACCTGATTTATAGCCTCAGAAATCCAACAGGGGTCAGCTGACTCAGTTTCAACTCAGTCAATGAGTAAGTTTGATTATATGACAATTCTGCAGTGCGCACAGGGCGGGCTGACCTCCCGACCCTCCCTGGCTGGGCTCCACCTTCCCTTCCCCATCTGGTCACTGTGCAGCCGCTGAACTCAGTGCCTGCTGCTGTTCTCTATGCTGTATCTGCCTCCTGAGATGTAACTTCTTCCCGTCCCTTGCCCCCCACCCCCCCCGGGGGACCCATTCTCTCGTTCAGAGGCTCTCAGCCTGTTTCTACATCTGAGGGACCCCTCTCTCTACTGGGCTGCTGGAAGATTTGGGGCCCCTGGTCCTTGTGACAGTGCCTCCGGATAAGTGGTTTTTTCCTCACCATCGCCACTCCCGCCATCGTGCGTGAGGACCCACGGCTGCGTCACCTCTGCTCTTCAGTGTTTAGGGTGAAAGGTCACCCATCTCCTAACCACCTCAGGCTTCAATTCTCTTAACAGGGCTGACCTCACAGGAATGCAGGGCTGGCTCCTTCCACCTGTGCCACCTCCATGGTGACAACTTTTGCCTTACAAGAACCTCTTTCCCTGTCACCTCTGTACCCAGCCCTACCTCTGTCCCCTGCGTCCTCCCAGTCTGTCTGACATCCCCGGGGCAGCCCCAGCACTCTCACATAGCAGCCCTCTCAGGCCCTCTTGCTGTGGGGCCATCAGTCTCGGGTCTTCTACAATGTTTCTGCTCTGACGTGCTTAGAAGCCCTCTGCTATTCAGTCCCCTCTACTAAACGAGCTCTAGTTTACAAGTTCTTTCTTCAAGTATAGGGTTCACACTGAGACATGCGTGCAAAGTGAGGCAGAAGCACCCTTTTCTGGTCCAAGACTGAGCATCGATGTGTGCAGCCAGGAGCCCTGTCATGACCTCCCTGTGAGCTGGTTTTGTCATGCACCTACCATGAAGCCAACTGTATCTATGCAGATATGAAGAGGACCACAGTCGAGAGCTTCATATATGTCCCTGGCCATTTCACGCCAGTGCTGTCCCTGCCCACTGAGGTCCTTCTGGACCTCAAGTCATGGTCCCCAAACATGTTAACACCCCAGTCAACCTAGTGCCACTTCTCAGTGCAGGACATCTCAACATCAAGAAAACAGAAGTCCTCACCACTGGACCACTGTGATAGATAAAGATTGACATTGTCAAGGTTTTCATTTTACTTGGATCCACAATCAAGTTTTACTTGGATCCACAAGCAATTGCACATAGGGTAAATCCAGGTTGAAATGCGTCTAGAATGGCCTGATTCTACAGAGGTTTGTTTTCTGGTTCTGGTGAGGATTAGGGTGGAATGTTTACTTGCTATTGGATGTCAAACACTGCGACACTGATGTGTCAAATGCGATCACGGTTACCCATGGTGGACAGTGTCTGGTGGAGCTCCCGATTAAAGCAACCTTGGAAGCAGGAGTGGCATCCACTTCTGAAATAGCTTGTCTCTGGGAACTCTATGAATGTGGAGAAACTATGAAAGCTATACAAGTGTTTAGGTCTTTCGTTCATAGGTACACTATGAGTCATCTATGACTCAACCATAACAACAACAACATAGAGAGAGCTCTGTTGGCCTAATGGATTGAAAGTTATGCTACCAAGCCAAAGGTGGGTGATTTTAATTTGTGGCCCCCAGGCCTGTTTTTAATTACTTTTGGTCACTCTTCTAGGTTGAAGAGCACTAGTCTGTTCATTTGCTGTACATAGGTATCTCATCTATGACTCGATGGCACTTAACAAACAACAACAATTGTAGTCAAGAAGTCAAAATATATATTATAATGGGAAAACACCTGTGAAGGATCTCGCCAATGTGCTAAAGAGCAATGGTGTCAGTTTAAAGACTAAGGTACGCCTGACACAAACCATGGTCTTTTCAGTTGCTTCCCAGGCATCTGAAAGTTGAGCTATGAATAAGGATGCCTTGGAGTTGTGGTGTTGGAGAAGAATCCTGAATATCCTATGGATGCCCGAAAGAACAAGTCTGTCTGGGAGGCAGTGAAATCACCGTGTTCCTTAGAGACAACGATGGTGAAACTCTTCGTCGTCTCATATAATTTAGGGATGTTGTCAGGAGAGACTAGTCCTTGGAAAAGGACATCATGCTGGGAAAGGTGGAGGGTGGTAGAAAGAGAGGAAGAGGTCCATCAAGATGGATTAATGCAGTGACCATAACAATGGGCTCAAGCATATAAGTGATGAGGAAGACACAGGACAGGGCGGAGCTTAGATCTGTCGTTCGTAAGGTGGCAGCCTCTGCCTCCACTGCTACCTCTCTTCCTCTGATTATGACTCACCTGCCTTTTCTCTGACAAGGACCATTAGCATCACATTGGGCTCACCTGGATAGTCCCACACACTGTCCCCATTTCAAAACCCTTGATTTAACCACATCGTCAAAGTTCCTTTCGCTTTGCAAGATAACCTCTTTATAGGCAACAGGGATGTGGATGTGAAGAGCATTGCTGGGGGGCCGGGGGAAGCATTATACCCACTGCCTATCCAGGTAACCTGAAAGGGAAGCATCGAAGAGCCGTTCACTTACCTGCCTCAATTGTGAAAGCATTTTTTTCCTCTGGACTTTGAGAGAAACATTTTTCAAACGTAACTTATCCTTTAAACTATCCTAAAAAACAAAAGCGTATATTAATCAATCTCTCTTCTTTTCCCGTATTGGTAGGCTTGGGGCTACAGACCAATCCTGAGCCCTAATATTCGGCCCCTAATTTTCAGGGCGATGTACAGCCGCGCATGCGGGGGGCTGCTGCAGTGTCTCGCTCTCGACCTAGAAGCAGAGGGTGCTGGACTGCCAGGGCCTAAGGCTGCCTTCCTTTTAATATTGCGGTAAGCTGGCTGTGCGGCTGCTGTGGGGGCAAAGGAAGACAAGACAGCATCTTCAGACTTTTCCTCACAAAACAGTCTTAGGACTCTTCGTTGTTTGTTGTTATGTGCCGTTGAGTTGCTGTGACTCATAGCAACCCTATGTACAAGAGCCCTAAACCCTGCTTTGTCCTGTGCCAACCTCACTGTCTCTGACACACCTACTCTTGTCACCCCAATCACTGAATCAATCCATCTCATCCACGGCCTTCCTCTCCTGCGCCGTCCCTCCACTCTCCCAAACATGATGTCCCTCTCCAAAGACCAGTCCCTCCTTGCAACATGCCCAAAGTATGTCAGATGAAGCTTCAGAATCCTTGACTCCAGGGAACATTCCGGCTTCACCCTCTCCAGGACAAACCTGTGTCTTCTCCTAGCAGTCCATGGTATATTCAACACTCCTCCAGCACCACAGCTCAAAGGCATCAACTCTCTTTCTATCATCCCTAGTCACTGTCCAGCTTTCTGATGCATAGCACTCAACTGCAAAAACTATGGCTTGGATCAGGCACACCTTAGTCTCCAGCCTGACGTCGTTGCTCTTCAGCACTTTGGAGAAGTCCCTGACAGCAGACTTTCCCAATGCAGTTTGTCTCTTGATTTCCTGGCTGCTGTTGCCAAAGACTGTTGACTGTGGAGCCAAGTAAACTAAAACTGTTAACTATCTCAATCTCTTCACCATCCACACTGATGCTTCCAATTGGTCCAGTGGTGAGAATATTTGTTTTCTTGATGTTGAGCTTCAATCCGTATTGAAGGCTGCAGTCCTTGACCTTCTGCAGCAAGCGCTTATGACTCTTTAGGTATTTTTATTCTCTTGGTAGGGTTAGACTTTGTTGTCGTGATCTGCTGCTGAGTCAGAGCTGACTCATAACGGACCCTCCAGTGGGTTTTCAGAATTTATAAATTGCACAGGAAGAGACAGCCCATCTTTCTCCAACAATGCAGCTAGTGGATTTTGAACCTCCAGCTTTTGGGTTGACAATGCAATTCCTTATTCACAAGGCCATTGCAATCCTCAGGGAACATGGTTTGAATCCCCCCCATCCCGTGGCCCCTCAGGATGAGGATGGACAGTACCATCCTGTGCTATTTATTGTCTCTGAAAGCCCACTGGAGGGTCAGTTCTGAGTCGCTTCTGACTCCATGGCACACAACAACAACAACGACAAGGCCTCCAGAGCTCCCATTATAATTGTTACGACTCATAATTTATGAGGATTAGTAATCCTTCCAAACTGTCTTGAAGAACAAAGCATGGCAGGCTATAACCTGAATAGGGGGGCTGAAACAGCCTAGCCTCACAACCTTTCTTCAGAAAAAAAAGAGCAGATTTTGAAATCAATAATAACAAGGAAAAGGAGGTAGATGTACAATACTACTACTATTCGTCTTGCTCGACTGATTTTAGCTTTAATAAACTTGCATTTTAAACACATACACACACACTCTTTGGAAAATATATAAGAATCTGTGTATGCGGCGACACTTACGGTGGGCCGAACATAGGAGCTCTGGTGGCCTAGTGGTAAGGAGTTGTGCTGCCTAACCAAAAGATGGTGGTTCGAACCCACCAGCTGCTCTTGAGAGAAAACTGGGCAATCTCCTCTCTTGCGATATACTGCCTCTGAAAAGCCACTGTGGGCCAGCTGTGAGTCTGTCCTAATTCAATGGTACATAACAAGAAGAAACAAGAGTAACAGCTGTCGTCATTCTATGAATTTTTGTCCTTTCCTTCTGAACTTTAACCACCTACCAACTTACCCTCCTGCGGTTCATGTCTTCAATATACTTCATCACTTTCTGAGTGGCCAAAATACTCCCTTTCTTCTTGGATATGGTTTTCAGGATATCTTTTTTAAAATCGTACACTGCTTTCTGAATTTCAGCCCATCGGATTTCTGCTTCCTCAATGATGGCCTAAGGGAGTCAGCACAAAGAGAGAAGTTTCTGAACACTCCACGGCAATGTCCTCTAAGCCCTCAGGCCTCACCGAAGGACACACGCAGCACGAGCCCATGCACCTGCATGGTCCCTGCTCCCCTGCACCTGCATGGTCCCACGTACATGCAGTGCTCAGACGAGGCAAGTACACACACAACAAAGTCTACTGGTGGTGGGTGAGAGGGAGAGGAAGAGCTTTGGAGTCACTGAGTTTCTGCGAAGGGTGGTGGACAGTCTTGGAAATAGGTTATGATGGTGGCTCAACAATATGATGAACATTATGTCACCAAATTGAAGAATCATGCGCCAGCAGCTGTTTCTCTCTCTCTCTCTCTCTCTCACACACACACACACACACACACACACACACATGGCCATGTATTGATATTTACTGTATCTGGGTAATGGGTACTCTAGGACGGGATCATTATACAAGCTTTTCTACGATTATATACAGATGGCCTATGTTCAAATTATGACCATGTTTCATTGCTAAGTATATAAATCAAACCTGCTAGACGCATTTTCTATCTAACATCAGCTAGTCAAATGTTTGTCATAATACGTAATACACAGCATACCTTTCTATCCATAAAAATTAAAGAAATACTTTAAGATATAGGAAAACATCTCTAACATAATATACTACTACTACTAATGTTTTGATTAGAGACCTCTCTAGAGTACTGTAGAGCAATGATGTCAGTCTGGAGACTAAGGTGCACCTGATACATGCTATGGTCTTTGCAATCACTTGTTACGCATCAGAGAGCTGGACAATGACTAGAGATGATAGGAGAGTCAATGTCTTTGAGCTTTGGTGCTGGAGAAGAGTATTGAATCTACCATAGACTGCTAGGAGAACAAACAGGTTTGTCCTGGAGAGGGTGAAGCCAGGCTGGTCCTTAGAGGCAAGGATTCTGAAGCTTCATCTGACATACTTTGGGCATGTTATAAGGAGGGACTGGTCCTTGGAGAGGGATGTCATGTTTGTGAGGGTGGAAGGACGGTGCAGAAGAGGAAGACCCTCAATGAGATGGATTGATTCAGTGACTGGGATAACGGGGTAGGTGTGTAAGAGACAGTGAGATTGGCACAGGATAAGGCAGGGTTTGGGGCTGCTGTACATAGGGTCACTATGAGTCGCAGGCAACTCGACAGCACATAGCAACAACAATGTTTTGATGTCTGTTGCAAACTTTGTTATTATGAACGATTATATACCTTTAACTTTTAATATACTAGGCATTGTAGGAGTTGTGTGTATGTTTGTACATTTCCCAGAAAGGGGAATGATAAAAACTTTCCTATTAAAAACATTTAAAATTTTCATGGAGTCCAGTCCAGACTTTCTAGAGCTATTGAAGCTGCATTAATCCCTTAAACTATTTCTCTGAAGAGAATCTTTAGGCTTAAAGCATAAAATCATCCCCAAAGTCTTCTTCAAACCAAACAATAGTTTAACCAACAGTAACTCATATGGTGAGGTAGGATTTCCAGGAAGCAGTGAATGCATGTTAACGAGGGAGGGACCATTTACAAAAGGGGAGAATGATTGAACAATAGCACTTGTAGAGGTTGTTGAATTGGTGCATGGTCTAATGTGTTTCCCACAATTGCATGTGTGTGTGTGCTACTTTTTTATTGTGCTTTTAGTGAAAAACTTACAGAGCAAGTGGTTTTTCACTCATTCATGCAGACTTTGTTTTATGGCATGAATTACCGTCCCTGCACTGGAACAGCATACTACCCACTTCCTCCCTGTGATTCTCATCGACATTCATCCTGCTAGTCTATCTCTTCCTGCCTCTTGAGCTTTCTCCAGGGAAAATACCACCGTTTAAAATCTTATCTAATTTTTCATAGGCATGAGTGCCCTTTTGGTGTTATTTGTTCATCTTACGAGCACATTGATTGTTTGGTTAACAGTTGAGCCATAAGGGTAATGTTGTTGCTGTTGTTGTTGTTGTTGTTGATTGCCATCGAGTCAAGCATGACTTACAGTGACTCTATGAACAAAAGACCCTGAAGCTTTTCTATAACTATCGTTTCTCCAAGTTCACAGAGTTTCCATAAGAAAGTGGTTTAGGAAGTGGAATGCCACTCCTGCTTCCGAATCTATTTTAAACTGGGAGCTCAACCAAACACTCTTACCTTGGGAAACCGTTAAGACATTTGACACCCTAATGGCACAAGGTTCAGCATCACAGCAAACCCAGATTACCTCAGTACAGCACATTGACAGAAGAGTGATGTACAACTTAGAAGAATGTTTCTTCAAAATATAACAACACTGGTCTCATTTTGCAGTGGTTAAGTACTATAGAAAGTATTTTTTTTTAAAAAAAGGACATTTAAAACATATTGTCTCCTTAAGTAGGCAGTAAGTTCCTTAAAGATAGGTGCTCAATTTGTCTTATCCTGCTAGTGTTTCTTCCAAAGCACTAACAATTGCAAGACTAACACACTCAAGGTACAGCTTGATGGGGTGGGAGTGGGGAGCCCGGATGGAATGAATGGTCTCTGTTGAGAGACTGGTTTACCTCATGGTACTGCAGGTCCCGTTCAGCATTGGCCCTCATGTGCCTTATGTCTTCCTTCATATCCTCCAGCTCTTTTTGCACGAGCTCATATTTTTGGTTGGTAGTGAGGCTTACCACCTGGTCTATACCTGACCGGAATTTGGATTTCCGCCTGGCTCGTAACTGCTACTCAAGAAAAACAAGGTCATCTTCCATTAGGGATTGGTCATAAAGCAAGCCAAGATGGACATTCAAATGCCCACCCACATGTGGCTAGAAAGTATCCTGACTGGGCCCCGGTGTGAAGGAAGGATTCTGGGCATTCACAGGTCATCGTAAAGTCCTGTGCCAAAATGAAGGCCAACAATGAACTGAAAACACATGAGAGGGAGAGTGTCCACAGAGTCGGCAGAGTGTGGCCTGATGAGTTGCTGACCTTTCCTTTAGATAACTGTGACACCAAAAACCTCAACTTTTAAAAAATTTATTTTCAAACTAACAAACCGTGGAGGGTGTGGATAGAAGAGGGGGAGTCATATTGCCCCCCACCCCCGGTAAAAGAAATGCACTCAGGGAAGACCCACAAATACCACTGGAAACTGAAAGGAGCATGAGACTCCAAGGCCTCCACTTGTACCTGTGAGAATTCAGTGACTGAGATTTTAATATCTAATAATCTTGTGCGTGGATGATCTCTGGACTCCAGTTTATTGTAGTATTTCTCAAACATCTCTGTCTCAATTCTGAGGGCAGAGTTTCCATAGCTGTAAGACAGAAGGGCACCTGATTAAGTTTGATACCACACTTTAAACCCCTAGATAACTAGTATCTAGCCATGATGTAAAAGAGGAGGGTTGTTGGGTACCCTTGAGTTGGAACTGATCCATAACTGACCCACCAGCAGGTTTTCAGAGACAGTAAATTACACAGAAGGAAACTGCCCATCTTTATCCTGTAAAGCAGCTGGTGGATTTGAACTGTGTATCTTTGGGTTGGCAGCACAATTCCTTACCACTAAGCCACCAAGGACTCAACATCCTTAGGAGATTATCAGTCGTTATTGCATTAGGCAATCAATTCCGTTGTAAAGGACCTCTCCAAAATACTTAAGAACAATAATGTCAGTTTGAAGATTAAAGTATGACTGATTCATGCCATGTTCTTTTCAATCACTTTCCCCTCTGAGAGCTGAACAATGAATAAGGTGCTAGGAGAATTGATCCGTTTGAGTTGTGGTGCGGAGAAGAGTACTGACTGTCCCATGGACGGCCAAAAGAACGAACAGGTGTGTCTTGGGAAAGGTGCAGTTGGAACGCTACTTGGAGGAAAAGATGGCAAGGTTTTGTCTTATACTTTGGACATGTTGCCAGGACAGGTGATGTCATCCTTGGAAAGGTGGAGGGTCAGTGAAAGAGAAGACACCCCCCCACACACACACACACACGGGAGATAGACTGAGCGAGTGACTAAAGCAATGAGCTCAAGCGTGTCAGAAATGATGACAGCACACCATAGGGCTGAGTTCTGATCCGTTGTTCATAGGGTCGCTAGAAGTTAACAGCACCTAATAACATCAAGCAGCCATGGAGGTGCAATGCTTCAGTACCTGACTGGTGGTTTAAAGCCACTTCACAGAAGGGAAGCCCTGGTGATCTGCTGTCATGAAAACTACAGCCTGGGATACCCAAGGGGGGCAGTTCCACTCTGTCCTATAAGGTCGCTATTAATTGGAATCAACTCGATGTCACTTAACTAGACGCATGAGACCTGTTGACGATGCTTCAGGCACACGCAGGCCTCATAATCGCATTTCTATCGTGCTGTCAACATTCATTTTACTGTAGATTCAGCGTTGAAAAGGGCTTTAGAGGTTATCGGAATGGGCTCCTTGAGCTGACTTAGGGGCAGGGAGAGGGGGCGTTTACGCACACAGCTGGCACTAGACAGACCCATCTTGAAATCAAGTGTCCTGGGGGCTTCCTCCAGCGGCGCCAGGCCCTGCTCGCCTCCTCCCCATAAGGACTCCATGAATGGGTGGAGAAACAGGGCGAAGAGGTAAAGTTCCCGCCTCACTTTGGAGATCTCTGTTTTCCCAGTGTCCAGTGTGGCCTTGGATCTTCAATCACGGGGCCGGACCCCATTTCAAGCCCGCTCGGGGTGCAGGACCCGCCTGGAGGAGGTGATGCCCACAGAGGCCGGGACAGAGCGGAAGATGGGGTGCTGGGGGGTGACAGGGGGTGAGGGCTGTACCTGAGCTCCTCCACCAGCCCGCACAGCTGGATGATGGACAAATCGTTCTCCTCCCCACCCAGGGACTCGGTGACGTTGCTCCCGTAATCATACTCGGTCATCACGCCGCCAAAGCTCCCCTTGCGGGTGAAAGTACGCACTCACCGGAGCCCTGCACGTTGCCATGGCGACAGGACGCGTACAGGGGCAAGGGGCGGGGCTTGTGCTGGCCCCACCCAAGTTTCCCCTCTCCCTGCAAAGCAGACCTGCTCAAGGCCAAACTCACCAGCACTTGTACTTCCACTTCCTCATCGGCAAATTTTAAATTAAAATAATAATTCAGTGATTGGGGTAATGGGAAGAGATGTGTCAGAGACAGTGAAGTTGGCACAGGGCAGAGCAGGATTTAGGGCTCTCGCACATATGGTCGCTATGAGTTGCAAGCAACTCAACAACACATAACAACAGCAACAATAATACCAACTACAGTAACTGAGCACTAACTGACTGTAGCATATTTTCAGTTGCCTCCTATGCATGTGAAAATTGATCGAAGAATTGGCGTCTTTGAATTTAGTGTTGGAAGATTATTGGATTGCCACAGATTGGAAAAAAAAAAATCAAACAACAAACAAAACCCACCTCAAACAGGTCAGTCGTGGAGGAAGCATAACCAAGATGCTCCTTAGAAGTTAAGATCCTAGGGAGCTCCGGTGGCCTAGTGGCAAGAAGCTACACTGCAATCTCAAAAGTGTGCGGTTCGAATCCACCAGATGCTCTGCTAGAGAAGGAGGGATAATCTCCTCCTGTACCAGTCAGATCCGATTTGACGGTACACACACACACAAAAATAATGAAGAAAAAAAAAAGTTAAGATCCTGAGATTTCATCTCACATACTGTGGGCATATATTAGGGGTGCCAGTTACCGGAGAAAGATGTCATATTTAGTAGACAGATGGTCAGCATAGAAGAGGAGGACCATGAATGAGATGGATGGACATCAGTGGGATTAAGGACATCAGAGCTTGTGAAGATGACTTGGGGTGTGTGTGTGTGTGTGTGTGTGTGTGGTTCAGTTGTGCACAAGGTTGGTGTGAGTTAGTCACCTGGATGGCATCTAACCACAACAGTGAAAATCCTCACAACAATTTTCTAATAGTATTTCTCGTTCTCTAACAAGGAGAGTGAAAACAATTTGTGATGCCAACCTTCTTCCCCATCTTCTCCATGGGGTCCCTACTCTGTGTACCAGGCAGCAATTCATACATAATAACCGTAGTTTTTCCTCTGATTATTGGCACCAGGTAGAGTGGCTAACATCTCAGACAGTGACAATCCAAGTGGCAGCGAGGAGGTGGCATAACACAAAATCTCATTCACTGTCAGTGGTACCACCGGTCTGGAAGACAATTTAGCAATTTTTACAAAACTAAACATAACTTCTCTACCTTTTTAGAGTTGTGAATTGAAGGAACTTTTATTTCATAAAATTTTTCAATCTAGGAAAGATTAAATCTCTTCTAGCAACATGTCCAAAGTAAGTGAGATGGAGTTTCCCTATGTTTGTCTCTGAGGAACACATTGGCTGTACTTCCAAGACCTATCTGTTTTTTTGCCAGGCTGTGAGATGTTCAGTACTCTTCTCCAACACTGCAACTCAAATGCATAGATTCTTCTTCTGGTTTTTCCATTCTACCTCTCATATACATTTTGTTTCAAGACATCAAAATGCATTTCTCAGCTCTCCCCCTCTCTGTTTTCCTTTACATTAATCTTTCTGTCTATTCCTTCCTGTCTTTAGGCTTTATTCTTAGGCAAATGCTGCCTTTTGGCCTTGAATAGTTAGTAATTCCAAAGAGGGAGTGCCTCCTTGGTGTTATTGATTACCTTATTGTTTGATTGAAAATTGAGTCATGAGGATGAATTTTGTGCTGCCTGGAAGGCTATAGACGTAGTCTAACCAGATGATCCAGGAAATCACACTCTTAGCTATTTCCCATGTGAGTTGAGAATGTATTCCCTGTGAAACCTGGACACGAGTGGAATGTGTAATTGTTAGGTGCTGTCGAGTCAAGTATGACTCATAGTGACCCTAGGAACAACAGATCTGAACTTTGTCCAATCCTGTGACATCTTTATTATCTCTGACATACTGGAGCCCGTTGCTGCAGTCATTGCATCAATCTATCTCATTCAGGGTCTTCTCTTTCACTGACCCTCTACCTTTCCAAGCAATAGTCTCTCTCAGCAACATGTCCAAAGTATGTGAGAGGAAGTTTCTCCACCCTTGCCTCTCAAGAGGACTCTGCACTTTTTCCAAGACCTCTGTTGTTTGTTGGGCAGTCCATGAAATACTCAGTACTCTTCTCCAACACCATAACTCAAAGACATCAATTCTCCTGATTCATTCTCCAGCTCTCAGATGCCTAGCAGGTGATGAAAATACCATGGCCTGAATCAGGCACACCTTAGTCTTCAAATTGACGTCATTGCTCCTCAGAAGGTCCCTGATAGACTTGCCCAGTGCAGTATGTCCCCTGATCATTTGGCTGCTGATATCAGGGGTGTTGACTGTGGGTCAAAGTAAGTTAATATAATTGACTATTTCAATCTTTTCTCTATCATGTTATTGCTTAATTAGTCCAGACGTGAGGATTTTTGTCTTCTTGATATTGAGATGCAAGTCACATTGATTAAAATGCAGAGAGCATTTCAAGTCCTCTTCCCTTTCAGAGAGCAAGGTGTGTCATCTGGATAACACAGGTTGTTGATGAGCCTGATGCCACATTCTTCTTTATAGAATCCAGCTTTTTACATTATTTCCTCAGTATACAAAATGCATTGGTATGGAGATAGGATACAACCTTCACACATACATTTCTTAATTTTAAACCATATGGTGTTTCCTGGCTCTGTTCAGACAACTAGGTTTAGGTTACAAGTTTTGTGTGAGCATAATTAAGTGTTCTGGGATACCCATTCTTCTCAATATTAGTTATGATCTACACAGTCAAATGCCTTTGCATAGTCAATAAAACACAAATAGACATTCTTCTGGTATTCTTTGTTTTCAGCCAAGATCCAGCTGACATCAGCAATGATATCCCTGGTGCCATGGCCCTTTTAAAACCCAGCTTAAACTTAGGGAGTTTTCTGTCAATGTATTGTACTAGCTGTTTTAGGATGATCTTCAGCAATAATTTGCTTGCATGAGATATTAATGATATATTTGACAAATTCCACATTCTGTTGAATCAACTTTCTTGAGAATGGAAATAAATATAGATTTCTTCCAGTTAGTTAGCTAAGCAGCTGTCTTTAAAATTCCTGGTATATCAGACAAACGTCTTAACTTATGTTAAAAAAAAATCGAAGTAAATTTCTGTTATTTTTGTACGATTTATGATTTGAAAAAATCTTTACAAATAAATTTTGATTCTATCTTTGCCTTTAAAAAAAAATTCCTGGTATAGACTGGTGAGCATGTCCAGAGCTGCATCGCTTAGTTGAAACATGTTACTTGGTATGCCATCAATTCCTGGGGTCTTATTTTTTTACCAGTACCTTCAATACACCTTGAACTTCATCCTTCATTATCATGGACTCTTGTTCACATGAAACATCAAGACATTTTCCAGTGTCAACACATTCTTTTTGGTACAGTGACTGTGTATTTCTTCCATCTTTTTTTTGATGTTTCCTTGTATGCTCAAGATTTTGCCCAAAGCATCTCTCAGTAATGCAACTGGAGGCTTGAATTTGTGTGTAATTGTTGTTATTGTTGATTGCCTTTGAGTCGAGCATGACTCGTAGCGACCCTATGAACAAAAGGTCTGAAGCCCCTCTACAACTATCGACATTTATTAAAGTTCATAGAGTTTTTTGAGGCATGTTATTTAGGAAGTGGATGCCATTCCTGCTTCCAAAACCTGTTAGTATGTTATTGTTGTTAAGTGCCAATGAGTCTTTTGTGATGTGTAGAGACCCTATGTACAGGAGCTCTGAACCCTTGTGTAATTGTAGGAGACCCCAAATGGCTCAAATAGTTAAGCACTTAACAAATAGATGAAAGGTAAGGAGTTCAAACTCACTCAGAAGCACTGTGGAATCGAGGTCTGGAAAGTTCCTAACCTTAAAAACCTACAAAACACGATTCTCTTCTAATACATACAACAATAGCATTCAAAATTGCTAGAATTTGGAAGCAAACAGTATGACTTTCAATAGATGAACGGATACATAAGCTTTGGTGCATGCATCTATTATTCAGTGATAAAAAAGAAAAGAGCTAAAAAAAAGAAAAGAGTTCTAAAAGAACCACAAAAAGATAAGGAAGAAGCTTACATGCATATGACTAAGTGGCAAACATCAAATCCAGAAATGTTATATATGACATGATTTCAACAATATGATATGAAAGAGCAAAACTATAGAAACAGTCAGTGACAGCCAGGGACTGAATCAAGAACAGTGTGACCCAGGGTTCCAAGCCTGAACTGGCTACTGGATGCTTGGAGAAATTACTTAAAAGTTCCCACCTCTTTAAAATAAAGACTGTGCTTTCTGTGTGTGTGTGTGTGTGTGTGTGTGTGTGTGTGTGTGTGTGTGTGACTGCCTTGTGCATCTTCAAGATTACTACGAGGCTGCAATGAGAGAGATCACAAAAGAATAGTAGTTTAGAAAGTATGACACCAAGATAGGGCTCCCAGCACTGGAGAAGGAATCTACGAGAAACCCCTGTCCTGGCTTGTAACAGTAGATCATCAAGTAGAAAACTGACTCAGCTTGCAAGATTTTAAATGACCCTCACGATAATTGCCATTGTTATTTCTTAATATATTTATTGCTAATTAGGTAATATTCGTATTGCTTAACACCACCACTTATCACAATTATTGTTTTAGTTACTATTTGCCAGTGCTAGCTGCATGCCCAACACTGTGCTAAACACATTCCACACATTATCTTCTTTCAACAGCAAGATGATTCTATGAGATCCAGCTGCCTTGAGTGTCCCCTCCTTCCTCTGGAGAGACCTGAGGTTCAAAGAAGTGAAGCAACTCGCCCAAGGTCACATCACTCTTCCAGGGTATGGCTAAATCCAAATCTAGGTCTCTACCTACTGTATTTTTGTCCTATCTCCCCATCAGAGTGGGTAGTATGTGCTTATTTTGCCCCTTAGGTGACATTTCACAAGGTCCAGAG